ACACCGTGTCTTGGTGGAGCCGTGTGTACCTTTCACGTGAGGTTAGGAGCCGCTACTAGTTTGTGAAGCGCACCTGTATTTTCTTTGAGCTGATTAATCTAGGTTAGGTTGGGTTAAGCTAGGTTAGGTTGGGTTAAGCTAGGTTAGGTTGGGTTAAGCTTGGTTAGGTTGAGTTAAGCTAGGTTAGGTTGGGTTAAGCTAGGTTAGGTTAGGTTGGGTTAAGCTAGGTTAGGTTGGGTGAAGCTAGGTTGGGTTAAACTAGGTTAGGTTGGGTTAAGCTAGGTTAGGTTGGGTTAAACTAGGTTAGGTTGGGTTAAGCTAGATTAGGTTGGTGTTAAGCTTGGTTAGGTTGAGTTAAGCTAGGGTTGGTTGGGTTAAGCTAGGTTGGGTTGGGTTAGCTAAGCTAGGTTGGGTTGGTTAAACTAGGTTGGGTTGGGTTAAACTAGGTTGGGTTGGGTTAAACTAGGTTGGGTTGGGTTAAACTGGTTGGGTTGGGTTAAACTAGGTTGGGTTGGGTTAAACTAGGTTGGGTTGGGTTAGCAGGTTAGGTTGGGTTAAACTAGGTTGGGTTGGGTTAAGCTAGGTTGGGTTGGGTTAAGCTAGGTTGGGTTGGGTTAGCTAGGTTAGGTTGGGTTAAGCTAAGCTAGGTTAGGTTGGGTTAAACTAGGTTGGGTTGGGTTAAACTAGGTTGGGTTGGGTTAAACTAGGTTAGGTTGGGTTAAACTAGGTTAGGTTGGGTTAAACTAGGTTAGGTTGGGTTAAGCTGGTTGGGTTGGGTTAAACTAGGTTAGGTTGGGTTAAACTAGGTTAGGTTGGGTTAAGAGGTTTGGTTGGTGTTAGCTTGGTTGGGTTGGTGTTAAGCTTGGTTGGGTTGGTGTTGCTTGGTTGGGTTGGTGTTGGCTTGGTTAGGTTGGGTTGCTTGGTTAGGTTGGGTTAAGCTTGGTTAGGTTGGGTTAAGCTTGGTTAGGTTGAGTTAAGCTAGGGTAGGTTGGGTTAAGCCAGGGTAGGGTGGGTTGAGCTCGGGTTGGTTTGGTTAGAATAAGTAAGCGTTAGGGAAAGCTTAATTAATGTTAAGTTATACAGGTACTGTATTATGTTAAAATGAGGTAGGTTAGATTAGATAATTTTCTATGTTAAGTTAGGTTAAGGGCATGTTAGGATATAAGGATGGTTAGGTATAGTTTTAAGTGAAGCCATGGCAGGTTAGGTTAGGGTCCATGTTCGCAATTATTAGTCAGTCCTGAGAAGATGGAGGTTTATTAGGTGAGGCGTTAAGGTCACTGATGTATCAACGTAGTGAATAAAGTCAACCAAGGTGTGGCTCTGTGATACACCTGGGTGGTTGAGGTGTACAGTAGGTAATTGTGTTTTATTTATATATTTTGTCATAAACTCGTATAGTTTTTCTTGAAAGGATTTGTTTTGTGTTACTTATTGTTTACTTTATTTCTTTATTTTATTACTTTTATTTATTACTTTACTTTATTACTTTACTTTGTTAATGTATTACTTTACTTTGTTACTTTATTTCTGTATATTATTACTTTACTTTGTTAATGTTTTACTTTACTGTATTACTTTACTTTATTACTTTACTTTATTATTTCACTTTATTACTTTACTTTACTTTATTACTTTAGTTTATTTCTTTATTTCTTTACTCTATTACTTTATTTTATTACTTTACTTTATTACTTTAGTTTATTACTTTATTTTATTACTTTATTACTTACTTTATTACTTTACTTTATTACTTTAGTTTATTACTTTATTTTATTACTTTATTACTTTTACTTTTGTTACTTTATTACTTTAGTTTATTACTTTATTACTTACTTTATTACTTCACTTTATTACTTTAGTTTATTACTTACTTTATTACTTTACTTTACTACTTTACGTTGTTACTTTATTACTTTAGTTTATTACTTTATTACTTACTTTATTACTTTACTTTATTACTTTACTTTGTTAATGTTTTACTTTACTGTATTACTTTACTTTATTACTTTACTTTATTATTTCCTTTATTACTTTACTTTCTTTATTACTTTAGTTTATTTCTTTATTTCTTTACTCTATTACTTTATTACTTTGCTATTACTTTATTTATTTCTTTTATTTCTTTACTCTATTACTTTATTACTACTTTATTTAGTTTATTACTTTATTTTATTACTTTATTACTTTACTTTGTTACTTTATTACTTTACTTTGCTACTTTATTACTTTACTTTATTACTTTACTTTTATTTACTTTTGTTACTTTACTTTATTACTTTACTTTGTTACTTTATTCTGTTTATTATTTTTATTACTTTACTTTATTACTTTACTTTGTTACTTTATTACTTTAGTTTATTATTTCATTATTTTACTTTATTACGTTACAGTTGAGGAAATGAGTGTGGTCGGGTACAGGGCTGGTCAGACTACCTCGTTTTGTACTGAAGACACAATGTGTTGTAGCCCCACTGCCTATGGGATCAACTTTTTCACTTGTTATTTTTGCTGAGGTTGAGCACATTAGTTTAATTGCCAGGTGATGGGAGGAGAAATATTGACACACATATAAAAACAGTAGTTGTAATAGATGCAACAACGGTCACGATATATTTACAATGAGTATGATATATTTTTAAAGAATTATCGTCGGCGTTTAAGCAGGTGTCATGGTTTAATAGTCGCCCTTTTAGGATATTGAGCCTTGGCGTCCACTTCACCAGGAGGTCAAACTATGTAATCAGGAGCGGCGGAACATATCACCAAGGACGCCCATCTTCTCCTTCAGGTCATACAGCAGCACGCGGAGGTCCTTCCTCGGGTACTGGTCGAGCGGGTAGAGTGTGGTGCAGTTGTTGACGGTGCTCCACCAGGCGGCGGGGCTGTAGGCGAGGGTGGAGGGCTGGTGGTCGTGGTGCAGCTTGTGGCAGAGCTCACACAGGGGAGGGTAGTTCATCACCTGCCAGTACCGCCGCCACAGGTGATATCTCGCGTACTGTTCAGGAGACTCTGCCACGCTGGACAGAGGGCGTGGGGGAGAGCGGGGTTAATAACTGTACTCACTAAATGATATTGAGAGCACATGAAGATTAACCACCACAGTATATTTCCCTTGAAGATTAACCATCCTTGCATTAACCGAACGCTAACTTTTTATTTATTTTTTATTTATTTTTTACGAGTTAGCCCACCCGGACACAGGTCACTGACCCACATCGGGGCCTGGGGGGCGAAAATGTAATAATAATAATAATAATAATAATAGTAAATAATAGTCATAATACAGGTAATTCATAATAAATAAAATTCATGATAAAACAAACAAAATAAAATAATAAAATAATGCTGATAATAATACAGTAACTGTAATAATAATAATAATATTAATAATAAAGAACTATAAATAAAAATGAAAAAAAAGATCAAAAGTGTGAAACAATATATGTATGTTGTGTTGTCAATGGAAAGAGCAACAATTGAGACCCTGCAATTGTGTGTAAATAAACAGACCACATATATGGCAGCAGGGTCTACCATTAGACAACACATTATGCTTCCAATATCTTCCCAGGCAGTAGTACCTCCCTGTTTGGTAGCTGCCTACTACCTACCGTCCTCCCCCTGGTAGCATTAGGGGTTTAATCGTCAGTTGGGTGCCTAACCTTCGGGTGATCCTAATTGTGTTCAATACGTTTCAAACAATCGATAAGTACAGTAAGGGAACGTGGCTACTATAAGGCCAGGATTAGCGTCATCCAGTTTAACATTAATATGAGTTATTGACATGATAGTACTCTAGTAATGATGTACTCAGCGGCAAGATCACGGCAATAGTTAGATAAAGGAGTGATAGTTAATGTATTTACCTATATTGCCTTTGTATACTGTAACGTTGCCTGTATTGTGAGGGCGTGAGACTGACCTGGTGAGGAGGTTGGCTAGCTGGCGGGGTGTGAGGTGTGAGGCATCGAGGTAGGAGTGAGGGGGCAGGAAGTCGCTGTAGAGGGCGCCACCGAAGACGACGGGGACCAGGCCGTGGTGTAGCGGGTACCACACCTGACGGAGGGAGGAAGGGGTGTTAGTGTAGCCTGCAGGTAAGGTGTAAGGGAGGTACTGTGAGCACTTTATTATCACCTGCGTCTTGCACCCTTTATGCATGCTAGTCCTCATTTATTTATTGATTCACTCGCTCGCTCAGTCAGTCAGTCAATCAGTCACTCACTCACTCACCTAACCTAACCTAACCTAACCTCCTCCCTTCACCTTCTCTCTGATGTAGTCGACACACATGTTGTTTTCAAAGGCCAGGTAGAACTTGTAGTTGGGCCCTAGGACTTGCTCGTAGCAGTGAGTATCCAGGTGGGTCTTGCCGCACGTTAGGTTACCACAGGTGCCGTACACGTCCAATGTACTTCTGCAGCTCCCTCACGTACAGTTCTCTACCTGGGGGCAGTGAGGAGGCGAGAGTTGGTAGCCATTGTATGTGTAAACGGGATACAGGAAATATACCATTGTTTACTCGAGTCTCGCTCTATAACTCCATGCAGTAACACATGACAGTATGGTCAGTCAACAAGAGGTAGCTAGGAAGGTTAGGTGTCATGAGAGGGTTAAAGTATAAGTAAGGTTGTATGGTATCTACCAGATAGAGTATGACAGTGGGAGACCATCCATGAAGCCAGTTTGGGTCGAGTGAGGAAGGAGGACCAGTTGCCTTCAGCCTCGAACTCCAGCTTGCCTCCTGGTACTACACCGCCCTCGAGCGCCTTCATGTATGCACGGTACGTGACCCCTGATTTGTCCAGCAGGCCGGGGCGGGCAGGTCACCCTCACCTGGAAGTCACAAATCCATTTTGGTGATAAGTTTGGATTTAATGTTCGTGAAGAGAACTAGATGATCACTGAAAGATTGTACAGTGATAGGGCGACACAAAAGACATTTAGAGGAGTGAAAATGAGAAACTATGAATAATAAACATGACACCTTTGTTTACCTCTTATGGACCTGAGGCCACCATAGAGTAGGAGGACATCTGACCTCCTGTGGTAGGTGATGGTCCAGTTGAAGAACCCGGCACCCGTAGACCTCATGTTGTCCGCTAGGCCAGCCTTGTTGAAGAGACCGGGAGACTCGTGTGTCAGCCAGATATACCGCTGGTGGGGTTGTCGAACTCGTGGTACCTTGTTTGGGTGGAAGTCGAAGGCGTGGAAGATAAGGGCGTCAGCCTCGGAGACCTCTGAGGTGTCGCTGGTGAATACAGTTAGCAGTGGGGCAGCCGTGTAGCTCAGTACGGCTGCCGAGGATATCACTCCAGCTTTTTTTCTGCCCGAAGAAATTTGTGTAGACGAGAATCTTCATGGGTGACGAAGAGGTGTTGTGGTGGGTGACGGGGCGTGGGTGGTGGGTGACGGGGCGTGGGTGGTGGGTCAGGGAGGGGGGTCGGCCATTACTCGTCAACCTCTGTGTCTCATTCTCTGATGTGTTTACCTTATCACCACTTCTCATCTTCACTCTTTTAGCATCTTTCTTATCTCCTCTTCTCTGTATATCACCTTTCGTTCTCCTGGTTATATCTGTTGTTTTAAGGGTCTCATTTGATGCCTTAACACCGTCGATTAGGTTATTAAGTTTCGCAGAAGACTTCAGCCTCCTGTTGTGTGAAGCTATTACTCTACCCATGAAGGCTTTTATTAACTGGTATTCCATCTTTTCCAGCAGGCTCTCGGTCTTCTTGCCCTGTACGAGCTTCACATTAAGAGACTGTTTACTTTCGCGTATCACCGTTCTGTTGATGGAATGGTGTCCCTTGTGGTCTTCTGTGTCTGATTGTGTACTAAAAAGAGTGGTGCAGCAGTAGAGGAAGAGAGAGACCACAAGAACGAGGAGACAGGCTTGGCAGGTGCGTCTCTGAGCCACCTTCTGGAAGATTGTCCTGCCACCTAAGGGGACATTCCTGTTTGTGGTTCTCCGCCTCATCCACATCACACAGTCTGACCCCCTGAGCTGCACCATCGTCAACACCCTCGTCAGTTCAGTCTTAGTGCGGGGGGGGGTGTCTATGTGGATGATAAGGGGAGTGCTTATCATTATTTCTCTCACCTGTGTTTGTTTTTTACTGGGGGACTTTCTTAGATTTTTGTTGTTTATTTTAGATTTTATTTACTACTGGTTATTGTGTTGTGTTTATATTTATACACTTATTGAGTTCACTTCTTGTACACGTCCAGTTAGATGGTCGTGTTAGTTGCTGTACAGTGGCTGGTGGTGTTGGCGCCAGTTGGTGGAGTGCTTCACTGGCTCTCCTTTATGACCGGCAGGCCTCTCATGGTGAGCCTATGGAACAATGTAGAAAATAGGTTTGAGGTTTGTTTATGTCATAGATGCCATATAAACAGTTCTAAGCGACGTAATGATCATGTAGGTTATGCAAGAGATAATATGGAACACACACACACACACACACACGATATATTACCAAATCGCCTCCTCCATCTCTCCCTCCCTGTTCAGCCGTGTCGTGACATACATACGGACCATGACTTAGCAATCTGTTTCATCAGTGGGTAAGAGAAGGGAGATGAAATATTAAATGGGGGGGATTTTGTGCCACCAAGTTGTCAGGAGTGTTGTCATAATGTGGTGAGAAGGGAAAGTGTGGCGGGACTCTGGGGTCTGTGTAGCGTGACTGGTGGTGACATACGTGGGAGCAGTTCCACACCTAGTGATCATAAAGCTGATTTACCTGGAGATTAGACACCCCCACTGTACAGTAGTTCGTGTGATGATGGAACATTCTAACGTTAATGTAATGTGAATGTTAGAATGTTTATATTTTTTTTACTTGTTTACAGTGGACCATCACTTGTTCATACGAGTACATGTGTTTAAGGAGTGATTTACATGTGCCTTAGATTTGAGTACAGGTGTTTAATGAGTGATTACCTGTTTTATAGCTCCAATTTAGGTACAGATGTTTAATGAGTGATTACCTGTATCTTGGGGCTTTTAATTCCCCAAATTGAGTACAGGTGTTTAATGAGTTATTTACCTGTGTCTTGTGAGCTAATAATTTCTACCTCTAATTTGTAGATCTTCCACAGTATTATATATTATCATCTATGAAGAAGAACCCGGGAAGTGAATGTATGTTATGAATCAGATGAGTAGTTCTGCTCTCACGTGATGCTAAGTGCTGCTGTTAACCGTGTCATGATAGTTTCCACACGATACAAGTTATCATTCACTCCTATCTAACCTCACTAGATGTTCCTCAGTTTACCTCACGGATAGGTTTGGTTAGGTTAGGTTAGGTTGGGTTGGGTTGGGTTGGGTTGGGTTGGGTTAGGTTAGGTTGGGTTGGGTTGGGTTTGGTTAGGTTTGGTTAGGTTAGGTTTGGTTAGGTTTGGTTAGGTTAGGTTAGGTTTGGTTTGGTTTGGTTGGGTTAGCGTGAGGATGGTTGAGGTCATTTAAGCTAGGGTGGCTAATCTTCACGTGATCCCAATGATGTAAAGGTATACAGTTGATGATGAAACAACAGTGGCAGAGTGGGACGAATATCACTTCAACTAATTATACAGTAGTTACTGTAGTTAAGCTAAATACAGGTCGATGGTCGTTACAGCGAGACACAACTGGTCCATGTTACAGAAAGACCCGTACAGTGTTCCTCGTTACCTGAAGAATGTTGGAAATGTAGCTACTTAACCAGTGCTTATACTTAGCATCAGAATTATACCTGAGATTTCACCTTTAATTAGATATGTACAGGTAACGTCATGTAAATTGATATACAGTGATTGGGTAAAGATTCAGAGCCGTTTTTGTCCTGACTGGTCATAAGTGACTGTATCCAGTAGGAAGAGTCTCAGTGTAGTTATATTGACTGGTGCTATTAAAAGACTTGGTATATTGTGCTTTAGCTACAGTTAACCAGTTAGATATACAGTCTTAGGTCTCCAGTCATGTTGGATATTTATTGTACGAACGTTTGTGAGTCTGGACCGTGTATAGTGGAAGTTCTCTTGTGTTTTGGAACTCGACAACAACACCCTAACTTAACCCTACGCCTACCTAGCCTAACCTAACCTAACCTAGTCTAACCTGACCTAATGTACTCTAACCTAACCTATCTTAACCCAACCTCATCTCTTGACTATATTTTGTGTGTGTGTGTGTGTGTGTGTGTGTGTGTATTAATAATATAATAATTAACGGTTTATTGAAAGAGCTTGGCAGCCAGAAGGCTGAAAATATACAGTTTCATATTGGGAATGGGTTACGAATTACAAATAATATACAAGTAACATAAGTGACACAAAATGACATATAATAACTTAGATGGGGAAAAGCTCAAACTGCAGTTCATTTCAACATAGTGACAGTGTAAGGAGCAGTGTTTACTGGGAGTGAATACACTGATTTATTACATGTTATTGATAATTTTTACAATGGTTGGGACTGGGCTGTTCTTAGGGGATCAGTTCATTGCGCATGTGGGCTAGATGCGGTTGTGGTGTCGAACAGCAATTCTCGGACAAGGATCTCAGGTGGTAGTAGGAGCCGGTGTCGGGGATGGGGTGTGTGTGTGTGTGTGACAACTCTTTTCCCCCCTTGCCTATTAAATGGAGGGTTAAACCATCGTCCTTAAAGGGTTAAACCATCGTCCTCAAAGGGTTCAAATATATTCATCAAAGGGTTAAATAGGTTTCTTCTCAATTCTAGTCTGTTTCTGTGTATCGTTCACGTCGTGGCGTAAGAGGGTGATAAACTGATGATTGAGGGAAGAGCGAGGTATTAACGATATACACAATGTGCTTCGTCACTTCACTAACTATACAACTGCGCATTACATCATTTTACCTTCAATTCCGAGCACAAGTCCAGCTGTTGCTTATAATGTCACTTTACATTACCTGCACCTACTACAACTGACGGTGATTTAATGGTACACACCGTCAGTAAACGCCAGACAGGTACGCCGATACAGATAACGAAGGCGTGATAGGGATAATATCCATTACTTACCTCTGATACATGTTTTGTTATGCTGTCGTGGTGTGGAATGATGATATGACACTATTTTATGGCGGCGTCCTGGGAGTAGTTCATCTTTCTTCTTATATGACAACTGTGTGATGGAGTCTCTCTCTCGGTGGGTCGTCTGCCTCCGGGTGCTGAGGTAGAACTGAAGGTGAGGAGAGGAGGTTGGGTGGGTGTGGTTTCTCTCACGCTCCTCCACAGACTGACGACGTTTGCCTGGTCTGGCTACCCTTCACTCTATTGATGTGGAGGTGAGGGAGGGAGGGGTGAGGTGAGGGACGGTGGTGAGGGATAGGGGTGAAGACAGAGGACTGATGAATGAGGGAGAGAGGGGATGTTGGATGAAGAATACTTAACAATCTCCTCCATCTCCCTCCCTCCCTCACTGTTCATCAACTCCAACACCTCACACTATAATCAATCATTTTCCTCTCCATCTATCGCCATTACAACTACAGTATTACTACAACCTCTTATTGAAAACTCTAAAGTTCTTACATCAACTTTACCCCAAACTCTTCTTCTCTTAACTGTTATCGTCACCCGGAACTAGAGCTTGTGGTCTATTGTGGTCGAGGCTCGATTAAGTATGTCGTCACTTTCCACATTTATAGAAAAACATAAGATGTATCGTTTCTGTCTGGTAAGGAATTTATTGGTTAGGTTAGGTTGTGTGAGTCTGGCTGGAGGTAAAACCCTCAATACCAAAGTTATCATTGGTCTGTTCTTCACAAGTGGCCGTCGACAGATTATTATAGGGGTGATAAACGAAAAAGGTAATTGTGTGTTACTTGTAGTGGACGTCAGGTTTTGTGGGGATATAATTTAGCGTTTTGAAGAAGACAACTCGTGTATTTTATAAGGAAAATGATGTCAAAACTTTGCTGGTGTAATATTAAGCAAAAACTGTATTTTTTTTTGCGTAACTGTGTTCACTGAGGCTCATCCACACACACACGTACGTCACTTAACTAGACTCACTTGGCAGAAATTGAAACGTCATGGCCTCGGATATTTGGTCTCGCTACACCCCCCTCCTCCCCACCTCCTCTCCCCCTCCTCCCCCTCTTACCACACCCAGTAACAGTAAACAACAACAACACGCCAAGTAACATCTCCACCTCCCTAGTAACCTAGTATACAGCCCCGCCTCCCTAATAACCAGTATACACAGCCCGCCTCCCTAGTAACCAGTATACAGGCCCGCCTCCTAGTAACCAGTATACACGCCCCCTCCCTAGTAACTAGTATACACAGCCCGCCTCCCTAGTAACCAGTATACACAGCCCCCACCTCCCTAGTAACTAGTATACACAGCCCCTCCCTAATAACCAGTACAGCCCACCTCCCTAGTAACCAGTATACACAGCCCCGCCTCCCTGTAACAGTATACACAGCCGCCTCCCTAGTAACCAGTATACAGCCCCACCTCCCTAGTAACTAGTATACACAGCCACCTCCCTAGTAACCAGTATACACAGCCCCGCCTCCTAGTAACTAGTATACACAGCCCCACCTCTAGTAACCAGTATACAGGCCCCACCTCCTAGTAACTAGTATACACAGCCCACCTCCCTAGTAACCAGTATACAGCTGCTCCCTAGTAACCAGTATACACAGCCCCACCTCCTAGTAACTAGTATACACAGCCCGCCTCCTAGTAACCAGTATACACACCTCCTAGTAACCAGTATACACAGCCCCGCCTCTAGTAACAAGTATACAGCCCCGCCTCCCTAGTAACCAGTATACACAGCCCCACCTCCCTAGTAAATATACAACCCCACCTCCTAGTAACTAGTATACAAGCCCTATAACAGTATACCGCCTCCCTAGTAACCGGTATACACAGCCCCGCCCCTCCCTAGTAACCGGTATACACAGCCCCACCTCTGCCTCCAGTATACACAGCCCTGCCTCCTAGTAACCGGTATACACAGCCCACCTCCCTAGTAACCAATATACAACCTGAGTATACACAGCCCCTCCTATAACTGATACACAGGCCCGCCTCTAGTAACCGGTATACACAGCCCCACCTCCCTGTAACCGGTATAGCCCGCTCCTAGAGTATACACAGCCCCACTCTAGTAACCAGTATACACAGCCCCACCTCCCTAGTAACCAGTATACAGCCCGCCTCCCCCCTGGTAACCGGTATACACAGCCCGCCTCCCTAGTAACCAGTATACACAGCCCCGCCTCCTAGTAACTGTATACACAGCCCCGCCTCCCTAGTAACCAGTATACAGCCCTTAGCCCCACCTCCCTAGTAACCAGTATACACAGCCCCACCCTCCTACCCTAGTAACTAGTATACACACCTGCCCTAGTAACTCAGTATACACAGCCCCCCAGTAGCCCCCAGCCCTCTCGTATACGCCCACCCCTGTAACGTATACAGCCCTGCCTCCCTAGTAACCAGTATACAGCCCCGCCTCCTAGTAACCAGTATACACAGCCCCGCCTCCTAGTAACCAGTACAGCCCCGCCTCTAGTAACCAGTATACACAGCCCCACCTCTAGTAACTAGTATACACAGCCCTGCCTCCCTAGTAACTCAGTATACACAGCCCCTGCCTAGTGAACCAGTATACACAGCCCCACCTCCCTAGTAACCAGTATACACAGCCCCACCTCCCTGGTAACCAGGATACACAGCCCCGCCTCCCTAGTAACCAGATCACAGCCCCCTCCTGAATTGTATACACAGCCCCGCCTCCCTAGTAACCAGTATCACAGCCCCTGCCTCCCTAGTAACCAGTATACACAGCCTCCCTAGTAACCAGTATACACAGCCCCCCCTCACTGGTAACAGTATACACAGCCCTGCCCAGTAACTGCATACACAGCCCCGCCTCCCCAGTAACCAGTATACAGCCCCCACCTCCCTGTAACCAGATACACAGCCTGCCCTCCCCTAGTAACTAGTATACACAGCCCCGCCTCCTAGTAACAGGTATACACAGCCCCTGCCTCCTCAGTAACCAGTATACACAGCCTCTAATTTAGTAACCAGTATACACAGCCCCGCCTCCTAGTAACCACAGTATACACAGCCCCACCTCCCTAGTAACCAGTATACACAGCCCCGCCTCCTAGTAACCAGTATACACAGCCCCGCCTCCCTAGTAACTAAGCCCCCACCTCCCTAGTAACCAGTATACACAGCCCTGCCTCCTAGTAACCGCATAACAGCCCCGCCTCCCTAGACATACACAGCCCCTCCCAAAAGTATACACAGCCCCACTATAACCAGTATACACAGCCCCCCTCAGTAACCAGTATACACAGCCCCGCCTCCCTAGTAACCAGTATACACAGCCCCCCCTCCCAGAACCATCGCCGCCTCTAGTAACCAGTATACACAGCCCGCCTCCCTAGTAACCAGTATACACAGCCCCACCTCCCTAGTAACTAGTACACAGCCCCACCCCCTGGAACCAGTACACAGCCCCTGCCTCCCTAGTAACCAGTATACACAGCCCCTGCCTCCCTAGTACCAGTACACAGCCGCCTCCCTAGTAACCAGTATACACCCGCCTCCTAGTAACCAGTATACACAGCCCCGCCTCCTTAACTCAGGTATACACGCCCCGCCTCCCTAGTAACCAGTATACACAGCCCCACCTCCTTTAACCAGTATACACAGCCCCCCCTCCCTTAGTAACCAGTATACACAGCCCCACCTCCCTAGTAACCAGTATACACAGCCCCGCCTTTAACCAGTATACACAGCCCTGCCTCCTAGTAACCTGTACACACAGCCTCCCTAGTAACCAGTATACACAGCCCACCTCCCTAGTAACCAGTATACACAGCCCTTTCCTAGTAACTATATACACAGCCCCACCTCCCTTAACCAGTATACACAGCCCCGCCTCCTAGTAACCAGTATACACAGCCTCCCTCCTATAACTAGTATACACAGCCCCACCTCCCTAGTAACCAATACACAGCCCCGCCTCCCTAGTAACCAGTATACACAGCCCCACCTCCTTTAACTAGTATACACAGCCCCACCTCCCAGTAACCAGGATAACCCCACCTCCCTTAACTAGTATACACAGCCCCACCCCTAGTAACCAGTATACACAGCCCCGCCTCCCTAGTAACCAGTACACAGCCCTGCCTCCCAGTAACCAGTATACACAGCCCCACCTCCCTTAACTAGTATACACAGCCCCCCTCCCTAGTAACCAGTATACACAGCCCCACCTCCCTTAACTAGTATACACAGCCCCACCTCCTAGTAACCAGTATACAGCCCGCCCGTATCAGCCTGCCTAGTAACCAGGTATACACAGCCCCTGCCTCCTAGTAACCAGTATACAGCCCCGCCTCCCTAGTAACCAGTATACACAGCCTCACCCCCTAACCAGTATACACAGCCCCACCTCCCAGTAACCAGTATCCCCCTCCTAACCAGTATACACACGCCCCGCCTCCCAGTAACCAGTATACACAGCCCTGCCTCCTAGTAACCGTAGACACAGCCCCACCTCCCTAGTAACCAGTATACACAGCCCCGCCTCCCTAGTAACCAGTATACAGCCTCCCTTAACTGGATACACAGCCCCACCTCCTAGTAACCAGTATACACAGCCCCACCTCCTTTAACTAGTATACACAGCCCCACCTCCCTAGAACTAGTGTATACACAGCCCGCCTCCCTAGTAACCAGTATACACAGCCCCGCCTCCCTAGTAACCGGTATAACAGCCCCACCTCCTTAACCAGTATACACAGCCCCGCCTCCTAGTAACCAGTATACACAGCCCCTCCCTAACCAGTATACAGCCCTCCAGTAACGATACACAGCCCCGCCTCCCTAGTAACCAGTATACACAGCCCCACCTCCCTAGTAACCAGTATACACAGCCCCACCCTCCCTATAACCAGTATACACAGCCCCCCCTCCCTAGTAACCGGTATACACAGCCCTGCCTCCCTAGTAACCAGTATACACAGCCCCACCTCCCTATAACCAGTATACACAGCCCCACCTCCCTAGTAACCAGTATACACAGCCCCACCTCCTAGTAACCAGTACACAGCCCCGCCTCCCAGTAACCAGTATACACAGCCCCACCTCCCTTTAACTAGTATACAGCCCCCACCTCCCTAGTAACTAGTATACACAGCCCCACCTCCCTAATAACCAGTATACACAGCCCCACCTCCCTAGTAACCATACACAGCCCCTGCCTCCCTAG